GCTCAAATTGGCCCAAATGCACAAAAAATATTGACATACACGGTAATTCTTGGCGTAATTTATAATTTAATTTACAGTCATTAGATTTCAACGGACACCTTTGTATAATATATTTACTTTAAAAAGACTTTTAATTTTACCGGTTTTGAAAACATACGAATCATTTTTAATGGTTATGGGTGTAGTAACATTCAGCCAAAGACTGATCGAAGTTGTTTATATAACATGAAAACAAATCTATTTTGTCAAGATCGATAAAATAAATCATTTTTTTTATTACACTGTGGTAATAATATCCACAACTATATTATCATTTTTATCTACTCTGATACTATACTTCTGGACACATCTATTGGCCCACCTTGTATTTTCAGTTTCGTTTGGTCCTAGCTAAAATTTTATATTAGGTCGAACAAAAAGTTTTTATGCAGTTTTGAACCTGGCACATTCACAATTTCATTCAATAGTCTTTTTTTTTAATTTCGAACACAGAATTTAAAGAAACAAAAGACAATTTGGAGCCTGTTTGTTGATATCAAACAATCGAATACTAAGAAAACTTGGTTTTATTGGTTTTATTCTTGAAAAAGTGATTCTTATATCTTTGGTTTTGCAACAAACAATAATTATTCTTAACATTAAGGTGAGGTTCTATGAATAATCTATGGATACTTCACCTGAAGTCGCCGCCCAAGCTGTGGCACTTATTCAGGCCGGACACAGCCAAAGAAACGTGAGTGCTCAACTTAATTTAAGTCGATCTGCGGTCCGAAATGTTTATCGGAGGAACCTAGAGACTGGCGGCTTTGTTCATCGCCAAGGAAGGCCACGATCTCGGGTCACAACTAAAAGGCAGGATCGATTCATCGTGACGACCAGCTTGAGAAATCGTCACCTTACCTCCATTGAGATACAAAAACAAATTCGCGACTTCCACGGAGTATCTGTGAGCGCTCGAACTGTTCGGAGAAGGTTAAAAGAACGCGATATGGTACCACACAAGCCAGCTAATGGGCCCAAACTAACGCGAGCCCACCGAACAACGCGCCTTCATTTCGCACGCAGTCATTTAAATTGGACACAGCAAGATTGGAGCCGTGTACTCTTTTCTGATGAGTCTAAAATTGTGTTACATGGCAATGATGGAAGGAAGAAGGTCTACCGACGTAAGGGAGAGCGTTTCGCACAATGCTGCTTTGAAGAGAGGGTTGCTTATGGCGGAGGCTCATGGACTGTCTGGGGCGGTATATCCACGAGCGGCAAAACTCAACTTGAGGTTGTTACAGGACCACGGCTGCCAACATTAAATGCTGAAAGGTACATTCGTGAGTGCTTAGAACCTCACGTGATACCATACGCGGACTATGTGGGCCCAAATTTCCTTTTTATGCATGATAATACAAGAGCCCATGCGGCCGGCATCGTCAGGGAATATCTTCGGGATGTGAACATCACAGTTGTGGACTGGCCAGCCAGAAGCCCAGACATGAACCCCATTGAGCACATGTGGGACGAGCTAAAAAGACGTGTTAGGGGCCAGTAGCCCAGACGATGCAGGAGTTGAAAACTGCCATAGAAGAGGAATGGGAGATGATCCCTCAAAATTTCATAGAGCGGTTGATAAACTCTATGCCTAATCGTATGAGAGCTGTGGTAGATGCCCATGGAGGCAACACGCGTTATTAAATTAAACCTTTATTTGATAAAACATGTTTTTTATTCAAAAATCAATTGCCTTTAACAAGGCGCATATCCGACTTGTTAGGCGTAGCTCCATGTCGTATGGTATTCTGAATTCAAATTTAAAACAATACGATCGAAAAAGATGGTAAAATGTATCAGGTTTAAAACTGCATCAACAGTTTTTGTTCAATCTAGCAATCATATTTCGGTAGGGGCCATCGAAACCTAAACTCTAAGGTGGGCCAATAGATGTGTCCAGAAGTGTATAATACAATGATTCTAAAACTGAAAACAAAATGCTTATGACAAACATTACGTACAGGCCAAAAATAATAAAAAAAAAGTTTAATTACGATACAGGTCTTGTATGGACACCTGTAACATAATATAACTTTTTAATTATAACGATACACCTATACAACCTCCAGCTGGACCAAGGAGGTTGAACCAATACTTTAAAAAGGTTTCAATGAACGAGTCCGCGACGACGCAACACGCATGCGCAATCGATGTTTGCACCTTGACACCAACATTTGACATTTAAAAAATCTTTTCAATATTTAAACAAAGTTTGGTTTTGTTTATAAAATACATAAGTTTTTGTGTAAAAACATGTCTGAAAGCGGGGATAGTGGTGATTGTACACCACCAGACATTCTGGAAGCTGCGTCATACATGACCATGAACCTGTTGCCGGCGAAATCTAGGAGCAACTATAATAAATGTTACCACGAATTCATGGAATGGAAAATGAATAAAAATGCTACATCATTTTCTGAAAATGTGTTGTTAGCGTACTTTCAAGAGTTATCTGAAAAATATAAAGTGTCAAGTATGTGGGTTAAATACTCCATGATTAAAAGTACACTCAATATTTACAACGAAGTTGACATAACTAAATATGGCAAGCTGATTGCTTGATTTTTGAAACGAAACTCACAAGGATATAAAGGGAAAAAAATCCAAGACTTTTACAGCAAAGCAAATAAATAAGTTCTTAAATGAAGCCCCAGACACATATCTCTTCACCAAGGTATTTTAGTTGTTTATCAGTTAACCATGTACATTTTTTTGTTAATATTGAGTTAATTTACCGTATATATATATACTAATTTTTGGTATAATGGGTGCTTGCCAACGGCAAGAGTTATACAACATACAATTCAAAGATGTTGAAGTCTTCGAAACTACACTATTGATCAAAATAAGTAAAACTAAAACCAAGACGGATCGCTCTTTTACCGTTACTGGGAAATATTATGAACAATGCAAAAAATAGATAGAGCTACGACCAACTGAGTGCAGCAATCCCAGTTATTTCTAAACCATATTGCCGGAAAATGCACGACGCAAAGAGTTGGCATTAACAAATTTGGAGCTTTAAGCAAAGTTATTGCCAGCTATCTTCAACTTACCGACCCCGAATTGTACACAGGACACTGCTTTCGCCGAACATCTGCGACCTTGCTAGTTGACGCTGGTTGAGATATAACGGCACTAAAGCGACACGCGGTGGCTGGAAGTCAACGACAGTTGCAGAAGGCTATATAGATGATTCAACGACTAACAAGATCGCTGTATCCAATTCAATACTTAACAGTATTGAAAATAACAGAAATGAGGTCAACATTAACATACCCTCTCTGAGTACCTCCAATAACGCTTCCTGTCCGGTTCAAATTCAGTTTCATAATTGTAATGTTCAGAACATCAATAATTATTAAAAGTAAAAATAAATTTGTTGTTATATTCAGCGTTTTATTTGCAATATTGTTTTACGTATTATAGAATGAGAGTAGATAAAGTAGTGTACATAACTGTACTGTACATAACTTGGTCTTATAACGCTCGTGTGATGCTATAAAAACTCACCTACGGCTCGTATTTTTAAAACACACTCGTGTTACAAGAACCCTTATTATGCAACAGTATCTTAAACTACTATCACTAGATGCAAATGTGCTCAGACAATTATTATGGATGGAAAGCGACATCATAAAGTCTATTGCCATACATTTTTCGCCAAACACCTCCATAAACACATTATAATCTGTATATATGTTAGACTTTAAGGTATCTATCTATGGGCCTACGTTCCCTGACTATAAATTAATAAATATATAAAATTATAAGGTGTGATACACTAAAACTCTAAAATATGGTTATCTTAAAAACATAACAAAAATAATGAAGCTACTGAATATATGGCTATAGAACCTAAATCTCTTAGCTTTCTTTGGTTAACGAGAGTTTAAAAATTCTCTCTAATCTGTGGCTCATTCACTGTTCTGTCACAGAGTACTTTATTATAACCGGAAATGACACCTGATTTTAAAAGTTACTCTTATGCATTAATTTTAAAAACAGACAACTATCTGTTAATCTACATGCTCTATATACCTGAATCTAATCCATAATTTCGGTACTTAGCTTGATTTCCCTAGTTTAATATATAACTTATTTGATTTTTATTATTTTAATATGTTCAGTGTAATATGGTTATAGAAGTTCTCAGGGGTGTCCGTCAATAAAATTCGTTTCTACAGTAATTTATATATGATTTCGAATCTAGGAAACAATTTTTCATGATTATTGGTCTTTAGGCCAAACATGTATGGAAGCTGAGCAATCTCCTTTTCATAGCAAAAGGATCATGTCCCTACCTACAAGATGGCAAAAAGTTATCGAACAAAATGGCACCTAAGTACTTTAGTTAAATGTAAATGAACTTTATTAAAAAATGTTCTGTATTTTTATATTAAATGCGATGAAACTTTTCCCCCAACCTAATCTTTCTTATATATAAAATTCGCGTATCACAATATTAGTTACTCCTCCATAAAGGCTTAATGAATTTTTTAAAATTTTATATGCATATTCAGTAGGTCTGAGAATCAGCTACTATCTATTTTTCATACCCCTAAGTGATAAGGGTTGTCCAACCCTAACATTTTTCTTTGGACAATTATTTTTTTACAATGTTGCAATTAAAATCAGTGTTGCCACCTTGGATTTTTTAAGGCGCCAAGTCAAAGGTAAAATATCGCCAGATTTCAAAAATTTGGATTTAATAAAATCCACCAAAATCCGCTAAATTACAATTACATCTCTGATAACAAGAAACCCTAATTTAAATAAAAAACCAGTGAATATGTATGAGATACTACAGAAATAACTGTATGCCGCAGTCGGTCGTCGTAAATTAGTAAAATTTTGTTATTTAAAAAAAATGGCAATATTGTTTTTACTAACTTTAAACTTTTCCGAGCGTTACCTTAGTAGTAGGTTCTAGAGAATGAAATAAAACCAGGTAAATATGTATTTACATTCATTATTTATAATCAAGAAATAAATCTTAAACAAAATGTGAAATTTAAAATTCAATATTGTTAAATGTTACATCTTCTTTAATTTCATCGTCGTTCACAGACGCCGACGCTTCTGTCAATGAAGCCGATGTCGAAGCTGAAGATGTTTGGTTGTGGTTATAGTGGTCTTGTCTTCTCAAATTTTCTACTCTTGCTAATAATTCTGTTTTACAAAATAAACAAAACGCCTTCGCATCAACACCTGCTAAAGGTTTAAGCCAGGTTTGGAATTCGTCGAGTGATTCCCATTCTTTTCTATACTTTTGTATGTTCTTTTTTTTTGAATAGAATTTCCATAATAACATATAATTGAATACTCTAAACATACAGCTTCAGGAGTTCACACACTATTACAAACGTTTCTATCAAATCAAAATTTTACACTTTTTAACAACACAATGAACGCGAACCTAATTCCTGAAACAGAATGAACGATTGAAGGAAGCCCTTAACAGACGAACGCGTGCAGGAATTCCCTTGTAACCATAAGAGTAACCATAGAACATTATGAAATTTTGGAAAGTTAGGGGTTTTCTCCCTTTAAAATATGTTGCTAGATTTCATGTTAAAAACCCACTAAAAAACACTAAAAAAAATATACCCGCTAGATAATGAAAATATACCACTAGAAGCCGTGAAAAAGCACCAGTTATGGTGGAAAAACCACCAAGGTGGCAACACTGATTAAAATACATACAACCCTAACCCCTTTTCACCCTTCTACCACCAGCCCCTTTGTACGAAGCGGGTCGCTGGGTCAGCTAGTATATTATAATAATCAGTCCAATAAGGAAAATAAAATTGCTTTTAACTGATATTATAGGAGTACATTAATCTTTCTATCTACAAATATAAAACAAAGTCGTGTTAGTTTATTTTTATACCTCAATAACGGCTGCGCCGATTTTTATGTGATCTGATTTTTTTGAATTCGTGTCCGGCCCGAATAGCAGAACAGCAAAATTTTTTTTTGTTAAAATAGAAATGAAAACGTAAGACACGTTTCAATACTTGCTGATATTTTGGTATGGAGACAATGGATATAATTACAACACTGAACTTCAGTATCAATATCATAGTTTTAATTTCATCATGACATAAATTTTACTCCATTTAGTTTGAGTTTCTAAAAATATAGGAACAATCTCAATTTCCCGAAAAATCTTAATAACCCCTTTTAAAATTTCTCTGAAACGCCATTGAAATTATTCAAATTTTATTAACTTTATAATTACATATTATCCTGATAAACTATTGAACTTTTTTGTATTTTCTTTATTGCGGTTGTAAAGTCATTAATTTAATAAAGCTTAAAAACTTTAAGATAACCACATTCATCGACTGATTAGGTGGCACGTAGTTCGCCGGGTCAGCTAATTACTGATAAAAGATCTAATTAAAATATCTGATTGATATGAATTACAATAATTTGATCGATATTATTAACGTAACCATTTATACAATTCTGCTTTGTGCCGTCATGTCGCACAAAGTCAAAGAAAAGAAAAAGTTAACAAGTTGTCGTAAGAAGGTATGTAAAAAAAGCACATTACATTGACAATAAAAGATTTGGAAAGTTCAAAAACTTAATTATCCGCGGTGGTTGCTGTAATTATGAGCGTGTCTGGAGCGAGCCAAGCGAAACTTTTTAATTTCCCAAAGAGATCGAAAAGTTGGGATTGTTTTCCTCGATCAAAGTGTTTCGATGAAGACCCTGGGCGAGGGCGAGGGAGCGGATATGGGCGGGGCCTGCGGGGATCGCAACAGGTCCATCCCACGCGATCGATAGCTCGGATGCTGGAGCATGCGCCATTCCCATCTCAATAAGCAAACAGCATGTGTTATCTTGTGTTGCTCGCGCTCTCACTGCTCACAGCAGGTATGTAAAAATAACTTTTCTTTTAATTCAACTGCAATTGATAGAACCAGTTCTGTATGTATACGATGGTAAGAATCATTCCTCGCGCGTTCTAGGGCCGTTTAGAAGCATAGATTTGTAGTTTTGAGAAACGTCAAGACTCGTTGTCTATGGTCTAATGCCTTTGTTATTATTCTAATCACACTCTTATCTTGCTTCATTACAATATAAGTAACCACTTACACTTATACAATTTTTCTACTTATTTAAAAAAAACTGTAAATGAAAAGTTAAGCACTATCTGTATGATTTTCCAGAAGGTGCTAGTGACCTCCTTAGGGATAGTGTCCACGTGACGTCGGCGGCCGCCAGGCCCAACAATGAGCTGTGGTGCTACCGGTGCCTGGCAGAGGTTCCGGAGGACAAATGTGCAGACCTACGCCAGAACAACTCCGCTCTCATCCACAAGTGCCACAACGACCGGCGGGTGTGCATGGTCAGTAAAACATGAAGTTTATTATGAAAAATAACATCTTTCCATTTAAAATTTATCTTCATTTAAAATGGCTAGTGGTCTTAGACTATCGTTTTGATTTTTGGGGCTTGTCTTATAAGTAAGTTTCTGTCTGGACAAAATATCTGATTGATGATAAAAACCGTGTGTGTAAGGATCCATTCTTTTCTCCATACAACTCTGCCCAATTTTGTACTTCAAGTATTATCATGCATTTATGTGTAGAAAAATACGCCGAATTCATAAAAATATAAATGGAGTGTATTGCACACTTGTACCACGTAAAAATATCGTTTAAACATTTATATATATATTATAAATTTCATATGGCAACATAGATAAATTATATTTTAAGGTTAATGTGCATATTTAAATAAATAACATTTAGCTATGGAAATCATGTGACTTTTGATACAACCAATCACAATCAAGGAAGTGGATTTAAACCAATAGTATTAGCTGTCATCTGTCAGACAATGACAAATTGCGTATAAGTAATAACGTTTCTTCATACGCAGATTCCCTATTTGAATGAAGATTTTCAACAAAATGTTATTGAATTTATTGTGCTTTTGATAAGCAAGTGAGTCTTTTTAAGTATAATTTTAGATGTTTTTTGTGATAATTTGTACTAAGTTACAAAATTGGCCAAAAATCGAAGGTGTCCATTGCGACCCGGCGTCATTTCGAACATATTTGATTAACGCATCAATGATTTATGTTTATAGATTAATATCATAGTTAGTTAGTTTATTATATTATATATCGTTTTTCTGTCTAAATTCATTCTATTATTTCCCTAATAATAAATAGATCCCAGATGCAACTGAGATTTTTTTGACGTGACAACGTCTTAAATTAGGTTGCGGCTGGGAGTCACTTATGAAAAAGTGTAACGCTCGGTAACGTTACGATGAGTCTCTCGTGTTAAGTTTAAGTTTACATGTACAATGTTTTAGTAAACAAAATATATTTCTATAGTTAAAATTTGTGCAATTCTTATTTTCATTCAATTCCTTGTTCCTATTGTGCAATTTAATTATATTCATATCAATAAATATTCTACCGAGAAAAAGACGTTGTCACGTAAAATCTTCGCCCGTAAAACCGACTTTACAGGCAACCATTTTTTTCTAAATAATTTAAAATAATAAGATTTCAGAATAGAACTACAAGCTATAGATCATAAATATTGTGAATAAACAATTCACTAAAAAACAAGAGAGTTTATTTTGTTCTTTAGTATTACATTTATTAAGTCCCAGGCGGGAATCTGCGTTATAAATTTACAAACGAATGTGAGTTAAAGTTTTTCCAGGCTGATAGCGAGTCAAGGGACAGGGTAGAGCATCCCCTAACTGGGTAGCAATCGCCACTATTGTTACTTGAATCTGTGCTTTTGTTCATAAACTATACCTTACGACACACTTTTAAAGGCTAAAATTGCTTGCGCTCAAACTTCATTGCTTATTAAATACGAACACAAGAGTAAAGAAACGAATAAATGGACAATATCACAAAATAGATGGTACTAATTCCTATCCAATGAAGTCACTTCTTATACAAGGCTATATCAGTACCTGAAAATTAAATTTTTAATTAGGTATATATATATAATTTGCAAGTTCCCAAACATTCTTGAAGCCTTTTAAACTTTTTTGCTGAAACAACACTTATCTGAAGCTATACGTATTACTTGCGTTATTTGCGCCCCCTTTTATTTCCTCACATATAATAGAAGCCTGAGAACAAAAACTATAGTCTACACTGAAGCAAAGCGAGGGAGGGCCACTAGTTTAGTAGGAAGCGCATTTCTTAGAACCACACAGTCTTATGGCAAGGGAGACTGAAAAGCTCCGAATAATGAAAATAACTTAGTACTAAATTATAAGCGCTTCAAACCGTTTATAAATATTATATTAGATAATTGACTAAACAATTAGGTATCGCTTCAATAATCAAGTGTTACGGTAACCCCTCCCTGTTATTTGTGCTTCCCTTTAGAAAGAAAACTCGTTCTTCCTATAAAGTTAATAAGAATAAAAGAGAAATGCTACTGCTCCAACGACGTTTCTTGTGCATTTTCTTTGTTAAATGTGTTTTTATTGTAAGTACTAGTACAACGAAGGTTCCACTGTAGCTTTGTTTAATTAAGCGACTGTGTTATGACCCGTTCTTTGTTTGCATTGCACATCCTGCCCGAAAGTAGGAAAGAACAGAGGTGTAGAGTTTCAAAATTGTTTCCTAAGATGCACATGACGCACTTTCTTAATCAAATAATAACTGTATTAGTAAGTATTGTCTTTGTAAGAAGTAGGTACTATAACAGAAACTATATTGTTATTACTACAGAACACAAAATCAAAAATTGCTTAATAATTTCTATTCGTTTAAAATTAAGCAGTCGATTGCTTAATTAAATGACTTATTGTTGTTAGCTTAATATACATCAAACATTTGTGTTTGCCGTTGAAAAGGTAATAAACTTGCAAACATATTTACTTAAATCAAGTTGTTTTCCATTAATACGTGAAATTTCCTTATATTACCTGGTGTACATTTTTACACCCGAATCCAGCTTTATCTTATCACACTAAATTTTTTTATTTTTCTCCAAAACTTTCCAGAACATTATAATTCGTATTATTCTGTAATAAATGTCGTTAAATCAACTTCTTTCGTCAACAGGTAAAGCGTTTCTCGTACACGACGTCCAACGAGAATTCTACCACAGCCCTCAAGATGTGGGCTCTTGAGAGGAATTGCACGAAGCACTGCGAGCCCGGCTGCATCATCATCGGCGAGAGGACTAAACTCCACGCCTGCACTTCTTGTTGTACTACGTCCCTCTGCAACTACGACTCTAGCGCCACCCAGCGGACTTTCACAATCATCACATACGCTGTCTCCATAGCGCTAGCGTTAATGTTATGATCGTCATAGACAGTAGGTTAGAATTAATTTGGAATTTGTGATAAAGGACCATCTAGTTACGTCACATACTAATAATATATCAATCAAAACATAGATTCTATAGTAAAAGCAGAAATAAGCAGTCGTATGATATGGCGTAATTATGGATCCCAAGTTATTAAATGATTTCGTCATAAAACATGCTTGGCTAAATTCAGAGTAGATACCTATTTCTAGAGATAAGAATACAAGTGACAAGTATTAACTTTTGTTACGAAAGATTGTATGGAACATCAAAAAGTAAATCAAGAATAACTTATTACAGACAAACATAAAACTAACAAGTATTGAGATAAAGAAATAGTTAGAAAAAAAGAATAGATATCGGCTTAACAGTTTTCTGAATTTGGTCATATTTGTAGGAATCATTGATTACAATAATTACTTAGCGGAAATAGGAAAATATTCAATCTGCGTAATCTAATTTAATAAATGCCTTTATTCCATACCATATTACAATAGATAAATGCAACTGTAGCTAGGTAGATGAAACATTTTAATAATTCTATTATATTAAGCAATAAGGTAAACTAAATTAAGCTACGGGAACTTCACGCCCACGAAGAAAAGGAATTGTTTATTTCTGTTATATCTAGAAGCAGCATCTAATAGAACTGAAAGATTACATCAGAAATGATATGACAAAAAATACACCTGTCGCGAAAATTCCTCGAAATGACGGTGAAAACGGCATGAAAATCCGTTTATTACCAAAGGAGATTACTCAGCTTCCATACATGTTTGGCCTAAAGACCAATAATCATGAAAAATTGTTTCCTAGATTCGAAATTATATATAAATTACTGTAGAAACGAATATTATTGACGGACACCCCTGAGAACTTCTATAAACCATATACACTGAACATATTAAAATAATAAAAAACAAACAAGTTATATAATAAACTAGGGAAATCAAGCCAAGTACCGAAATTATGGATTAGATTCAGGTATATAGAGCATGTAGATTAACAGATAGTTGTCTGTTTTTAAAGTTAATGCATAAGAGTAACTTTTAAAATCAGGTGTCATTTCCGGTTATAATAAGGTACTCTGTGACAGAAACTGTGTGATTCACTATTCTGTGAGTGACAGAACAGTGAATGAGCCACAGATTAGAGAGAATTTTTAAACTCTCGTTAACCAAAGAAAGCTAAGAGATTTAGATTCTGTAGCCATATATTCAGTAGCTTCATTACTTTGGTTATGTTTTTAATATAACCATATTTTAGATTTTTAGTGTATCACACCTTATAATTTTATTTATTTATTAATTTATAGTCAGAAAACGTAGGCCCATGGATAGATACCTTAAAGTCTAACATATATACAGATTATAATGTGTTTATGGAGGCATTTGGCGAAAAATGTATGGCAATAGACTTTATGATGTCGCCTGCCATCTATAAAAATTGTCTGAGCACATTTGCATCTAGTGAAAATGATAATATAGTTGTGGATATTAATACCACAGTGTAATAAAAAAATGATTTTATTTTATCGATCTTTACAAAATAGATTTATTTTTATGTTATATAAACAACTTCGATCAGTCTTTGGCTGAATGTTACTACACCCATAGCCATTAAAAATGATTCGTATGTTTTCCAAACAGGTAAAATTAAAAGTCCTTTTTAAAGTAAATATATTATACAAAGGTGTCCGTTGAAATCTAATGACTGTAAATTAAATTATAAATTATGCCAAGAATTACCGTGTATGTCAATATTTTTTGTGCATTTGGGCCAATTTGAGCAATCTCCTTTTGAGATCTTCGCGAACGTACAGACATATTTTGTTTTTAAAATAAGTACATACCTTGAATAATTATGTATAAAAGACAGCGTAAACTACATTGAAACTGTGCCCTCTAGATAGCAAAGAATGTAATAAATAAATGGGAAAGTGATCTACCCTAGATCGGAAGTTTAATTTATAACAATATCTTCCTAAAATATCTATGTAAATCAAAAGAAATTTCGAAACAACAAGCCAAGTGCATGTCGTGCCACGCGCAGTGTAGGGTTCCGTAGTTGTCTGTAGTTACCTACCACAATATATTTGAGCAGGAGTCTTTATTTTCTATATCGGAAATTAGAAAAATCAATTAATATTAATCTATATACCTCAACTAAAATACCTTAATGAAAGTCAAACTGCGTCACAATGTCATTTCGATAATATATTTTTTTAAATACAAATGATAACCGTCAATTATTTTTTTTTGTTTCCTCCCAGGCGAGGGAGCGGATGTGAAATCCTCATAGATACCCTACAGCCGGCTGCAAGGTTATGTCAGACTCTTACTGACTAAAAGCTTCATCTGAAGCGATCATCCCCTGAGAAGAGGATCATGCAGTATAACCACCGATCTTTTCTAGTCCTTACATACTTTTTATAAAAATATAACGTTAGCGCGACTCAAAAGACGTTGCTGTTGATACTCGCGGTAGCGTTGTGGAACTATTGATATTTTATTGTGGTTTTATTATTCAAAAAAGGTATTACTTTTTTTGTTGCAATGTAAGGTTTTACGCTACAATAACGTTATCAATGTCACTATTAATGTTTTCTTCTAAGGAATTTTCAATATGTTCCCCAAAAACATTTTTAATTTTGTACCATTTTTTCGGCGTGATTGATAAGTATACCTTCACAAAATTACAGCTCTCTAGTGCTAACAGTCTCCAAGCAAAACCGGGGACGGACAAACGGACATGACGAAGCTGTAAGGAATGTCAGGACTACGGAACGACATAAAATGATAAACGAAGGCAATTTCTGAAATAGGATTGACTTCATTGGAAACACACAGGAAAGACGATGTAGTGAGTCCAGTGAGTACCTTACCCAGGGCCTGATTTACCCACCCATCCTGCGCACGTCTGCGGGGTCTCTGCAATACCTCGGGAGACCCCTGCCGTGGAGCCCCGGCTAGGCCGGGAGGCTGCTGGGAGCGGAGACGCGGAAGAATTCCTAAACGGGGATCCCGCGGTTTCGCACAAAGCAGCTAAGAGAGTATTCGCAGGGTTTTTAGCGGATATTATGCCGTAAAGCACCCGAAAGAGTTACGGGGTCCACAGTGGGCAGCGCCTCTTAAAGGCGCCGTCGTCTGTAAACAGAGTTTTTGCCTGCGTCACAAAAAAAAATGGGCCTGATTTCCCCACAAGCTAATAATAAGGCTGGAGCCTAGGGCGCAAGGACCAAGGGGGCGGCCGGCGGGCGCGGCGCTGAGACTTACATCAAGGGCTTCGCCAAGGGGGTCACACAGACATTATAAAAAATGTAGCCAGATATAAAGCAACCAAATTCTTAATACGCTCACATGACTTGCGTCTTCTTACTATTCTGCGTCCTGCACGTTTAACGAAACTCGAATGAATTCATTAGGTAATTTCAATCTCAACTGACCATTATGTACCCATAATGGGGATAAAATATTAATGATGATTAGCGCAATCAAGCGCTAAAGAGCGAACTTCCCGCAGATACACAAAACGAGTAAACAGGACTTCTGAATGATTTCAGTGCACCGCAAAAGTGGCGTAAGGCGTAACCAATAATATTTGGTAATAATGGCAAAATACGTGTGTTAAAATAAAACTCTAGCGTGCATTCTCACACAGACAGTCATATTAAAAACCATAAAAACATCACGAACAAAGTCGTGGCCGAAACCTGTCCTTAAAGTATCTAATTAAGTAAGGGATTATTTCATTTCTTCTTTTATAGTTTTAGGAGTAAAATTAGATTGTAAAAATAAGTGCTGGAATCTGAGATTGGAATTACTTGATTCCTTTCGTCTTTCATTTACATATTTACTAACAGTTTGATTCAATGATTTTAGGTTAATAAGCTATCTTCTGTGCTTGTAATTTAATTGGTTGCACCTATAAGCGAATGAAGAGGTAGGACAGGACAGGCGGGGGGGGGGGGGGGGCATATTGAATGTTAGCCTAGGGCGGTCAGAACTCTAAATCAGGCTTACCTTACCTCTTATTAGGTACTACATATTAACAAGAGGTGCGGTACCTATAAGTATATACCTATCCGTTAGTTTACTATTAGTTATTTATTAAGTCTGAGTTGAAGGCCGAGTCGAGAAAGAACCAACCTTCAATAGTTATATCACATAGAGATAACAGATCGATTTTTTACGGGGAAATGGATGATGTGGATGGCCGTGATTCATTATTAAAAGTTGCTTTATAGGTAGCGATCTGATTACCTACATAACCCATTTCGTTCTGCTGGTATTTTTGCCTGAAATTGTCTGGATTAGGTATAAAGGTAAGTAAACTCTTTTACTCTTTAGCAAAAAACGCAAAAAATAGGTTTTATTAATTTCACGGCGTAATGGCACGTTATTTGAAGCATCCGGGCATGATTCTTTACGTTCCAAATTAAAATTTTGAAATTAACAAAAGAAAAACAATTATTATTTTGGTTTTTATACCGTTTACTAAAATTTTAAAACTAGATAATTTCTGCAAATTTAACAATTTTATCTTTCTTTTTACATTAAATACCACTTTCTGATAAGAGTGATAAAGCGATAAGGACCGGTAAAATTATGGCCCTACTTGAAGAAGGTTAATTGTTCGGAAACTTACGTGTCTCAGCGGCTACATGTGAGTCGTTTTTTGTCCAGAGGATTTTGCAACGGTATCAAGAGAGAAAAAATGACCCTGTTCAAGAAGAAAACGATGCACAGAACCAAGAGATGACCACTTTTTGATGAGTCAGGCGTTGCAGAATCGTAAGGTATCAAGTGTGGACTTAAAGAAGAGCCTTGAAGAAGTAAGAGGAAGCTTTACACTGCCAATATCAGGAGGTACCGCGGAGCCCTCAATTGCTCCGTGACCACAGTGTTGCTCGACTTCAGTTTGCTCGAAACTTCATGGACTCTGGAGGACTGGAATAAAGTATTGTTTTCTGATGAAGCTGGAATCTCTTTGTGTGGAGAGAACCGAAAAGCGACGAGTGCTGCGAAGACCACGGGAAAGCTATGCGGAAGTGTATTTTCAAGAAATTACTCCTTATGGCGGAGGTTCTGTTATGTTTTGGGCGGTAATTACAGCGTACAGAGTTAGTTTTAATAGAAAATGGAACAGTTAATGCACACCAGTACATCCTAATTCTATATGCACAACCCGCATTGACTGCATTAGAGGAAGATTCCAATCTAATGGACGACAATTCTTCCGTCGTTTAGATTGGCCAGCTCAAAGTCCTGACCTCAATCCAATGAGGATCATTACTAGTTCAGCAAATCAACTCAAAATCAGTGTAATGATTTTATAAGCTTTTTAATTAATATTTTTTTAAGTCATCGTAATCGGTTCATTTGTTGCGATTTTATAACAAATTGTATGGTAGCCAATATCCCGAAACGTATGACGACACAGAGCTCGATCGTGGTTCACTCCGGTCGAACTACAGTAGCGTCTCTACGCACGCTCGCGCCCGAGCGTTAGAGCTCTGCTCTGTGACGTCACAGCCACCACTTCACTATGACAATTTGGTCATAACTTCGTCAATAATTCTGTAGAACAAAAAATTAAACACTTTATTTTATGGAATCCTTAGCTCTATAAATCTGCAATCTCAACTAAAATCATTACGGATCCTCAGACCAGGGGGCCATTCGCCTAACGTAAATGCTTTGGAAAACGCTAACGCATTCGATTTTATTTTGTTATTTCTGACCGCCGAAAGTTTTCAAATACCTCACGCTCATTATTTTTAATATTGTTATTACCAATGCAAAAGAAAAAAAAAGAGCGCGAGGCATTTGAAAACCTCAAGTGGTTAGAAATAACAAAATGAAATCGTAAGTGTTAGCGTTTTCCAAAGCATTTCCGTTAGGCGAATTGCCCCCAGTGCAACCTGCTCCACAAAACATCAGGGGGCTAAAAAAGTCATTGCAGAAGAGTGAATATTTACCTATTCCTCAAAACGTTATTAAAAACATCGTGCAAAACATGCCTGAAAGGATTCAAGCTGTGATTTTGGCAAAAGGAAGTCATACTCATTTTTAGGCAATTACATTTTTTTAATTAATTAAAAAAAGTAAAAATCTTTTTGGCTGTATTGCCGACCAATTCTTATTGTTCGGTCGTGTACATTGGTTTTAAAGAATTCATCGAGAATTAATAAAAAAAATGTCAGAATTCTCTTCACGCGTTTTAAGCCCACCATTCACTACACGCACCGCGAGCCGAACCCCGAGCCGTACCCATCCGTGGACAAATCCGTCATTGCCCACACACTACACGAGCGTCGCGTTGCAGTCCAGTCGCTTGTGTACTTTGGTGAGCCTCGCGCGTATCGTTCTTCCCTACCCTACCATGCCACCGGTGCTTTCCAAACGCACAAAAGTCGCTTTAGTAGTCGGTGCAATACTTTTAACGGAGAATAAAAAAAAAGCGCGTTTGAACAAAGGAATGGCTGAAACAACGAACAAAATATACTCATTTAAAATTGCTGCAATGCATTCAGACCTGTAAACCACCTGTTTCTCTTTAGTTTTCTCTTTAAACAGCAAGATAAATTCTTGCCAAAACTCTTTATGATCGCCGAACGACATGTTATTATACTCGTTCATGATACAAACAACACAACTGCAGGCCAATTATGCTCGCTAATTGTGATATTGTTTTGAGGTCAATTTCACATTACTCATTATGCTCTCCGAAAAATGCGATATCAAAATGACATCAACTTTAAAATGATATCAACTTATATGCGTATTATGTTCAAGTTTTTGACATAAAACAGTATCGCATAAACGTCAAAAATGTGATACAGACGTAACAAGTTAGGAGGTGGTTTTTCTGTATCAAATTTCTTTATTTTTTAATAAGAGTAAAATGGCTCGTTTCGTGTTAGTAATGGACTATTTAGAACGTGCTCATGCCGAGGACATGCGTAGAAGAGATAAACCCCTTGTAGAAGAGATACAATTAGCTCTTTATGTTCGCTAATTGTGATATTGTTTTGATGTCAATTTCACATTACGTATTATGCTATCCGAAAAATGCGATATCAAAATGACATCAAATTAAGCGTATTATGATCAACTCTTTAAAATAATATTAACTTGATATCAACTTAAATGCGTATTATGTTCAACTTTTTGACTTAAAACACTATCGCATAAACGTCATAATAGTGATACAGACGTGATCCAGTATTAACAAGTTAAGAGATGGTTCTGCGTGCACGCTCTACAAATGACTGACAAGGCGCGCCAATCCGCCGGATTTGTCGCTGGCGACAAGTCCGCGGACAAATCCGCGTGTGAATGTATTGGTGAGTGCGGCTCGCGGCTCGGCGCGGCGCTCGCCGTCGAGAGACGCGAGCGCCGCGCCGCACCCCAGCCCCGCCGTACAAATCCGTACGTGTGTGTGCTTGCACAGATTTGTCGGTGAACTTGGCAGTCATTTGTAGTGCGTGCACGTAGAACGACCTCTTAAATTGTTAATTCTGTATCACGTCTGTATCACTTTTTTGACGTTTATGCGATACTGTTTTAAGTCAAAAAGTTGAACATAATACACATTTAAGTTGATATCAAGTTAATATCATTTTAAAGAGTTGATCATAATACGCTTAATTTGATGTCATTTTGATATCGCATTTTACGGAGAGCATAATACGTAATGTGAAATTGACATCAAAACAATATCAAAATTAGCGAACATAAAGAGCTAATTGTATCTCTTCTACAAGGGGTTTATCTCTTCTACGCATGTCCTCGGCATGAGCTCGTTCTAAATAGTCCATTAATAACCCGAAACGAGCCATTTTACTCTTTTTTATTAAAAAAAAAAGGAATTTGATACAGAAAAACCACCTCCTAACTTGTTAAGTCTGTATCACATTTTTGACGTTTATGCGATACTGTTTTATGTCAAAAAGTTGAACGTAATACGCATTTATGTTGATATCATTTTAAAGTTGATGTCATTTTGATATCGCATTTTTCGGAGAGCATAATGAGTAATGTGAAATTGACATCAAAACAATATCACAATTAGCGAGCATAATTGACCTGCAGTTGTGTTGTTTGTATCACGAACGAGTAAACGAGTATAATAACATGTCGTTCGGCAATCATAAAGTTTTGGCAAGAATTTATCCTGCTGTTTAAAGAGAAAACTAAAGAGAAACAGGTGGTTTACAAGTCTGAATGCATTGCAGCAATTTTAAATGAGTATATTTTGTTCGTTGTTTCAGCCATTCCTTTGTTCAAACGCGCTTTTTCTTTTTATTCTCCGTTAAAAGTATTGCACCGACTACATAAGCGACTTTTGTGCGTTTGGAAAGCACCGGTGGCATGGTAGGGTAGGGAAGAACGATACGCGCGAGGCTCACCAAAGTACACAAGCGACTGGACTGCAACTCGACGCTCGTGTAGTGTGTGGGCAATGACGGATTTGTCCACGGATGGGTACGGCTCGGGGTTCGGCTCGCGGTGCGTGTAGTGAATGGTGGGCTTAAGTGACGACCTCCGTGGCCGAGTGGTTTGTACGCCGGGTTTCATGGTGTCGCCGACTCGAGAGGTCCCGGTGGGGGCAGATGTTTGTGTGATGAATACGAGCATTTGTACTCCAGTCATGGATGTTTAATATGTATTTCTATATAAATATACTTATATATGTACAGTATATGTATTCTATCCGTTACCCTAGCATCCCATAACACAAGCCTTGCAGTGCTTACTTTGGGGCTAGGCTAATTGGTGTGTGTGTTGAAATATTTATTATTATTATAAGTATTTGTTTCTTAGGTTTTCACGCACATCACTCATTAAATAAAACTAGTTTTTACGGGTTAATGCACGAAACTTTATTTATTTATTGACGTTTCGTAGCCTTTACAGGCTACGTCGTCAGAATTAAATTTTTATTTAATTTGTCGAGCTACCTTCGAAAGACTTTTATTGAGCGTTCGGTTATTTCATTGTTCGATTTTTAAATTATAAGTATACAAACTACGTCAAACAATTAAATTTCATTTAATTAACTGAAATCGACCTTAGAACTAAAATTTCCTTAGGTCCCCGTTTTTTTTTTGCAAAAGAGTTTAGTAAACTAGCTCCTTCCGAAAATTTGTTTTTGGCCTGTTTTGCAAACAAAAACGAGAACGAAGGGCAAAAAAATTAATGAGACTTGCGCGCTGTACCCGTTTATTTTATGCAATAATAAAATAAATAATCAAATCTTATTCTTAACTCCACTTCCCTCGATGTATTCGCATGACGATTAGATAACTTATGTTATGCGTCATATTATCAGTTAGTTAAAATAATATAAGGTTGGTGCAGCCATTTTACATCTATGTATAGTATGTTTGTCACCAGTGGTACATCTTTTTTTTCGATTACGGGGAGAAAAAATGCATTATATCCAACGAATTCGATATTGATTCGTGCTAAGGGTACTGTACCCCTAGCAGGAACCATTATCGAATTCGAATAGTTTGCGAATGCGAAATGTCAATGTCAGATTTTGTATGAAACCTTGAACAGCAGCGTTACAAAGTACGTAACGAGAACTATAAATCAGTACACATTTGACAATGACATTTTGGACTCGCATACTATTCGAATTCGATAATGGTTCGTGCTAGGGATACTGCTTAACTGCTTATTTTAATTTTGCTTCCTACAGTCGCTTACGCTTTTAAACGAAATGAATAATAAGGAATATTTTTTTGTCGTTAAGCAGCATAGTTTTCCTATAATACTGAACTTGAAGTAATTTTATGGTAAAACATAGATGGCGTGACAGTCAAGGTATGATTTATTACCTAGTAGTTAATAGAGGTCACTTTGTACCCGCAAATAGGTGGCGGGCGAGACTGAACAAAAAGCGTGTTGTTCATCAATTTATAAGCATCCGCACACTTGTTGAGATTTAATTAAAATGCAGACTTTTTAGTAGCTTATCGTTTAATCGCTCTCTTCTATACACGGCAGGACTTATGCGGGATTTACACTACCCAAATTTAAGGGATCCTTACCCGTTCTTTTTGTGACGCAGGCAAAACCTCTGTTTCCAGACGACGGCGCCTTAAAGTGGCACACCGCCGAACGGACCTCACACCTGGCTCCCGCAAGCCTTACGAGCCCCCGCAGTGACTGCCCACTGAGGACCCCGTAACTCTTACAGGCGCTTTACCAAGGGCGGATCCAGGGGGGGGTCATGGGGGTCATGACCCCCCCCCCCCCCCTGGGCTGGGTACAGAAGGACCAAACCCAGGGGGATTTTATTTAAGTACTTTCAATATTTAATATACCACGACTATATGACCCCCCCCTGGCGCCAAAGCTGGCTATATGACCCCCCCCTGGCACCAAAGCTGGATCCGCCCTTACGCTTTACGGCATAATATCCGCTAGATGAGAGATAGAGCTGAATGCGAAATGCGTTTAGGGATTCCAACGCGTCTCCGCACCCAGCAGCCTCCCGGCCTAGCCGGGGCTCCAGGGGCGTGGGTATAATCCCGAGTTATTGCAGGGACCCCGCAGACGTGCGCAGGATGGCCCGCGCGTGGGGGCTGTGTACGCGGCCTAGTGCCCACCGTACCGCCCCACGTCCGCTGCAGGACTACTTGGGCATGCCCGTGTAGCTCCCTCCGCCGCTGCCCTCATTGCAATACAAATCTACAAAAGGGGAGCCGCCGTCACGGGATGCCTCGGTGGCAGAAGGCACCCTTACCCTGACTAAGGGTGCTATAATGTGAGTTAGGGAGTAAGGGACCTGGGATACAATCGCCGTTAGGCTATCGCTTAAGATTTCATTTTATTTCTGACGGCCAAAGGATTTGAAATACCTTACACTAATTTTCTTTATTATTGTTATTACTAATGCTAAAGAAAAACAAAGAGCGTGATGCATTTATTAACATTCAGCAGTCAGACATATCAAAAATAAAATCGTTAGCTAAATAGTCATAGCAATTCGGTTAGGCGATTGCCCCCCCCCCCCCCCCCCCCCCCGATGTAGGGCGATCGGCGCGGTGTATTAATATCAGCCTAGCTATGAACCTCGCCCACCCTTAAAATTGGGTACCTAGTGCAAAACCAGTTTTAGTTTTAAACGGTGCCACTTTTGCTCACAGTACTCCATCTATACTATTTTAATTGATCTGAGATATAAGTTTATAAATATATAAAAATATATGTATAGTATACCTATGAACAGTTATGAATTAGCTACTTACAAATGCTCATACAAACATTTTCCACGCTTGGATTCAAACCCAGGACCTCTTGAGTAGGCAACACCTCCATGAAACCTGGCACATATACCATTGAAAACTTTAAATAACACACTAGGTACCACAGGCTTGTATTTGCATTAGATGATTTATTTATTTATTCATTTCATTATGAGATCCAGATCCACTTATGTCATAAAACCTGTGTATAAAATGGCTGTGCCTTAATTAAAAATTAATACAGGGATTAAAAAAAAAGACATCCACACATAATTTTCTCATTAAAATTTATTACTCTTACATGTGTTCCAAAATGAGTGACATATAAAATGGCAATTAGCTGATAGCATACTCCTAATAGCTAGCCAGACATCTAGATTGAAATAATGTCTATATCTATGAATTAATATAATAATTTATTACGAATAATGCAAAGAAATAAATGCAATACATAGTCTGCGACATAAATATTGCATCACATTATCAACATAATTGGAATGACCCATAGTAAACTTTACATTTCTTCTTGTCTGGGAAGGTATTGCTTAGGAGAAAATGTGTTAAACTTAAACAGTGTTATTATTATTATGCTTTAATACAGAATAAATTTAGGACAATTGACCACAGTCGGAGATCACAACTTTCTTGGAGGGTTTGCCCGACTGAGATCCCAGGGCTTCTACTTGTTTAACCACATCCATACCTTCAACAACATTTCCAAAGACAACATGTCTGCCATCCAACCATGTGGTCTTGACAGTGGTGATGAAGAACTGGGAACCATTGGTATTGGGACCAGCATTCGCCATGGAGAGGACACCAGGACCAGTGTGCTTCAGAACGAAGTTCTCATCAGTAAACTTCTCGCCGTAGATGGACTTACCACCAGTGCCATTATGGTTTGTGAAATCACCCCCTTGCAACATGAAGTTAGGGATGACACGGTGGAAGGTGGAGCCCTTGTAACCAAAGCCTTTCTCTCCAGTGCACAAGGCACGGAAGTTTTCACAGGTCTTAGGGGTTACATCTGTTCTCAACTGTAACAAAAAAAGAGATTATTTAAATACTTTTGCAGCTTAAGTTTTGACTGCTTGGACCAAAATGAGATTCTTCTCTACATTAGTACACACAATCTAATTTCAAGGTGTGGTTGCATCCGTACTAGCATTGATATCACAATCGTAGCACGAAAATAAATTTATAAAGTGCATGAAATGGGCCAAATTACATTAAGTTAGGCTCTATCAACCTTCAAGCGAGTAATGACCTTCAACAGACCTAAGTAGTCTCAGATTGTTAACAATTAATGTGTACTATACATATAGGTACGTCTACTTATCTATATTTAGATAGGTAGGAGGCAGTCAACTATCATGTAAAGGGAAAACATGAAATCAGGTCTAGCTTCACAATTCCTCGAAATTTTTTTTAATTACTAACCATGAAATGTTACATGAGGTCATAAGGTACGCTTAGGTCATGAATGCTTCGAGAAATAGCGTGGTCGGGCAACATCATGCCGGCCGGAACCGGTATCATGTTCGAATCATTAGGTACAAAACACGGCATATACCTCAACAACGATTCTTCCAAGAGAAGATCCATCAGCAACAACATCAAAGTAGACACGGGGCAAGGACATCACGCTTGTTTTGTGAATCCAATAATTAATCACTTGGCGTAACCACAATGACGATGCGTCTCTCGCTGATGTCGGGCGGAAATGAACAATGTTGCCAGGGCATAGAGCAGGGCAGCCAGTGTTGCCAACTCGGATTTTGAAAAAGGCGTAGGCCCGATGACAAAATTACGTAGAATTAGTAAAAATTGCATATGAAAAGTTCGTAGATCTACGTATTTTTTTTTTGAGAGAAGCTAGTTCGTTAAAACGAGTATTTTGTTATACAATTTATTTAAAAAAAGGAGATAGAACATAGAATTCTTGGAGAAGACTCTACATTGGCAGCATTTACCATGCTGTGGTAGACATTTACCATCAGACACAGACGCTGCTAGGTGTCAATTTGACATAATTCTCTAAACTTAGCACTAAATTTAACATCAGTCTCTCCTTTTCATTCTGTATAAAGAATGACAAGAATACACTGTTGTCAAATAGGCTAGTTGACCCTTTGAAAATATGTTTTAAAATGGTTAATAATTGTTATATTAGACCGAAAAAATGTATTGTAGTAATTATCATGATTGTATTATGCGAGAATGTAGAAACACAACGTTAAAGACTCCAGAAAAGTTGTAATTTAAATTGCCCAGAGAAATAAACATATCTACACATGAACACATGTTTAAAACTTGCTAAATCCTGTAACTTTATCGACTGAAAGTCATTTCTTTTTGCATAGATCACTTCGGTGTAAGTACTGATTCATTTTTTTTTTAAGTTTATTAATGTACCTACTAAGTAAGAGAGCTTTGTCGTTTCTGCTTTTACAAATTCGGCGTCCAGCATTAATTTAGACAACAAATACAATAAACGGAAACTCTTCTACAAGATATATAAGAGTCTTTAGATATATTTTAGTCCGACGAAAGAAACCATAGTAACACAACAATGACGTTTAGTTGTTTATAAATTTTGTGACGTCATTCTGAATTTATGAAGTGAAATCGATGTATTTCAGTTCCTCATACCAAAAACTATAAGAAATAAACATTTGTATAGTTAACGGAAAATATGCTTCCCTATTCTACTGAGTTATGTTATTTTGCAAATTTGTACAAATTAAAAGAAAATACGTAGATTTTGGGACTGAAGTTAGTAGGTTAGCAGAAAAGGCCTAAAATACGTAGATCTACGTAAAAAGACGTAGAGTTGGCAACACTGAGGGCAGCCTTTTTACACGAAAAAAAAAAGAATGTGTTTGTGATAATTTGTTGCCATCAGTAATTCTGGATCGGATACGATAAAAAAAACAACAAGAAAGTCAGGTAAAGTGAAAGTATGATTAAATCGTTAAAAACAAAGATTTAAATCGATAGTTAACATTTCTTTAACCAAATATTTGATTTGTTAAATATGCCGCGACACTGAAAAACTGTAGCTATATTTTGAAATGATGTTATGATGTTGGCCGTTTTGAAACATTATAGTAGTCATTATAAAAGTTAATTTGCTATCGAAAAAATAAACTTATATAATTAAATGCGAGTCTCATCTAGATATTATATTTATCTAATTATTTTGGTATTTTAACCAATATTGTAAGTAGCAGTAGTAGATTGAATAAAATTATTTTTTTAAATACTACGTATTGCTTTATTTATTTTACAGTTTTAATTTCGTAAACTACATATGCTGAGTTACGTGTTGAATAAGAACACTTGTTGACCACACTCGGCGATAGTTTTTAATCTTATGCCCTAAAATAACCGATTCCCTAAATATTACGAAGTGCACCTCACTAAAATGACAACGAAGAACATTAAACTTAAAAACGTGTCGCGGCGCATCGGTTTCACACATTTATATTATTATGGATTAGAGAGAGAGAGGTTAGACCGTCGATACGACACGACACGTCTTATATAAGTCTGTAACCATAGTAAATGTATGAAACTGATGTACTTTTGGCGCGCCACTGCACAACACGACACGTTAATATGTTTCTGGCTTAAGTTCTTTAAAATTTAGAACATTTCTTATGAAACTTCATGGGCGTACAAATTTCAAAACGCCCGAACCGTGGCGCGGTAACTTTGCCGAGTCAATAATCTGGTTACATCAGAAAAACTTGATCTGGCAGCACTTTTAAGACGTCATTCAAAACTGTCATAAATATTTCGTTTGGATAACATTTTTCGGAATTTTTGTTTGTGGAGAGAAAAGTGGAGCGAAGGTGTGGTTTTATAAAATATTAAGTCAAAATAAATCTGGAAAGGACAAATGGAGTCGGTCCTTATGCAAAAAGAGCAATATTATGAAGAAATCCTAACGTCAACGAGTGAGTTCCAATAAACTTGATACTTGATTGTTTCTATATTGGTATTTTATTTACATTTCAGCATTTACATTCTATACCTAATTCGCTAAAAACAGTTTTCACCACGTAAGGTTAGATAATTACATATACTTTTGATTATGGACGAATACTTTTTTCTTAGCATTTATTTATCCATTTCTCATAAAAATCTATTAATTTGAAGTAGTAAATGTATTTAAACCAACAGTTTTGCATAACATTGATTGAAAAATTGTTTTCTTTTAAGCCTCGTAATATTCAGATCATCGTATATTAATCGGAAATAATCTGCTGAACTAACCATGCAAGAGAAATGTGTTGAGTATGAACGGAAAATTAACAATTTTTGAGAAAGAATCACCGAAATCGATCTCAAAAATATGCGCGAGCAACAATACGACTTGTTTTGGCAAAAACAGATTTTTTTTATTTTTACAAACAAATAACGCAAAATAGCGTTGAATTACTAAGTATGGTGTGCTACTCGTTAAATTTATATGAACTGTATGTATTCGAGCACTTTTTTTTAATTTATATCAATGTTTATTTTAATATTTTAATTGGCAATAAACTTTCAAACCCCGTCCCGGCACGTAACAATATCCATATCCTACTCAACGAGCTCTAGACTATGATGTATCGCATGTACTATCTTCTTCTTTTTAAGTTTTTTAAAAATAAAGTATCTGGGCTGGATAACTAAACTATATTCAGTACTGCCATGTGCAAAGTTTTAATATTTGCTATTGTCAATCCACTGCGGAGTTATCATGGTCCGACTCTAGCGCGGTACCGAGAAAATAGTGTTGTCTGTTTTTGTCTGGCAGTAATTGCCAACACTTCTTTCTTGGTCATGCGCGGTCCGATCAAATTTCAATATTTATAACAACAACGTCATAACGAAAATATTTTTGAAGTTATACTTCTTTAGGCGCGTTATGAAAAAATGATGAGAGTGAAATTTTAAGATGCGCGCGCATCACTGTAACACAAAATTTTAACAGCATGAACGCTTTAGCGACCGCACATTAAGAAAATCTACCAACAAAATAGAAATAGAATCTCTATTTAGTGGGTGCTAACGACTGCATTGTGAAGGCCTATCAAAAGTATTTATTAATCTGGAACAACGGAACCAAAGCGCGATTCAGGAGACTACAGCGCCATCTCTTGACCATTGGTGTAGTAGAACCAAAAACCACATCTTTATTTTTTGTAATAAAGTAACAGTTATAGGTATTCATATTTATAATATCAAAAGTATTTATTAATCTGGAACAACGGAACCAAAGCGCGATTCAGGAGACTACAGCGCCATCTCTTGACCATTGGTGTAGTAGAACCAAAAACCACATCTTTATTTTTTGTAATAAAGTAACAAAAAGTATTTATTAATCTGGAACAACGGAACCAAAGCGCGATTCAGGAGACTACAGCGCCATCTCTTGACCATTGGTGTAGTAGAACCAAAAACCACATCTTTATTTTTTGTAATAAAAGTAACAGTTATCGATATTCATATTTATAATATTTATCCACATGTTTCTAGTTTGTATATTCGGAATACGTGTTTGAGTTTCATACAAGTGCAAATCACATAATATGTTCTAATAAATTATATTCAGTAGCGATTTTAATTGAATATTTTGATTATTTATTTATTTTTTCGAATTAAAACTGAACTTTATTGACTGTGTCCTTTTCCAGGCTTTTTATTAATTTATTGTAATTAATTATTTGCATGCAATTAAAAACTAATTTTAAACGATGCCAAAGAAGGATAACTTCTCACGCGCCTACATAAATACAAGCACCCATTTTTTTTATAAATAATGAAATCTAAAATCTTACTAGTGAAATTTTACACCAATAGTTTTATTTGTATTTCTTGTATCGTTAGTGAATTTTCGGAAGGCACACGACGGCATTTTGAGACACTTCTCCACTTTTCTCGCAAAAAATCTCAGCATTGGTGTCGATTCCGGCGTAATTCTCTAAACTAAAAACTTTTAACATCAGTCTGTCTTTTTCATTCTTTAGAGAGAATGACAAGGATACACTGTTGTCAAATTAAAATTTAGATTTAGAGAATGGTAAATTACTGTAAAAACAAAGATTATTGACGGACACTTCTGAGAACTTAAATTATTAAGAAAACTAAATTTTTTTTGAGGTTATGTTTAATATTCAATGAAACATAGGTCAACCCATAGATAATTGATTGGTCTCGCTTCACTAGCGAGACCAATCATTCATCTATGGGTCAACCTATGAATTTAGTATGAACTCAGTATGAATGAAGTGAATTAATATTACAACTAATTCATTTTATTCGGTGCGATTTTAAGGAATAACTATTAGGAAAATCTTGGTTAGGTAGGAATAGGGCTGCCATCCGTCCGGGTTTCCCCGGATTTGTCCTAGTTTACGGGGCGTCCGGGGAGCGTCCGGGCGGGGTTTTATTTGTAGTCCGGGTTTAAAAATTTACGGCAACGCATGAGTGGCCCTTGGTGCTGCAAGGTCCATGGGCAGCAGTGACCACTTATTATGAGGTAGATCGTTAGCTCTTTTGCCTAGATCAACATAAACGAGTTGATTTGTGACATTTTTAATTGTTTTTTTATTGGTCTGTCCGGGTTCTGGGCTTCAAAATCCGGGGTTATCACGCATATTATCCTGGTTGCCACATTTTAGAGATGGCAGCCCTAGCTAGGAATTATGAATTAAATAAAAACTGTAGTTTTGCGTCTTATTTTATTGTATCATATTTTTTATTGTA